AAAAAAAAAAAAAAAAAAAAAAAAAAAAAAAAAAACGCCGAGGTGTGCTGTAGTACTGCCATAAAAATATGACGAAAAGAAAAAGCAGATTTACACTCTTACTTGAATCACAGAGCAGCCACTTGCACATTTTTCCATCACGTCCCAGAGAATACAAAAAACCTTTATAAACCACCAAATCCGTTACCGAATCCCCAAAATGGCCATTAATTGAAAATAAAACCTATGGGTACCGTCTTTTAACATCATACAACAACAACATAATAGTCTAAACAACATCAAGCATACAAAAATACATAGTGGGAGTATTCAGTTATAAACAAACTAATCCCCAAAATTTATAATTTACCAAACCTCACAATGGTTTGTTGTTCTTTCCGCTTTAAAAACTGTAAAGTCTGGCACTCTTTCTAGAAGAAAAATAAATAAGAAAATCAACTAAATATAGGTTCAAATCTCTGCCACATTTTCAAGCTAGAATTGCTGCAATAAATCTACAGCTAGGTTTATTTTATACCTACATGTCCAATAATGTGGTGGGAAACCAACGTACACTATCCTTAAGCTGAATAATATAGCTTGGAATTTGAGATACGAATAATATACTCATCCAAAATTAAAAAATTGCCTTAGACTTTTGTGCTCTCCACATACCAAGAAATGTATGAGACGATTAGAAAACGAAAAAGATGGCGCAATCAAAATAGACAATTGTCAAAACAAATCGACAGGAGCCGCAAATGTGGAAAAATAGCCGCATAAAAATTAAAATTTGACACAATAAACGAGCTTAAAAAACAGCTAAACATTAAAAATTCTGTTCCACTTTTAAAACCTTGTAAAATGCAGTCAAGATTTTGTTGCACACCTTATTTAACCCAAGATCAATGACTAAACCTACGTGAAACCAAACAGCGCAAAAGCAGTTAGATTAAAAATAGAGGACAGTTTTCTTTATCTTTTTCCAAATATTTTTTTTGATCGCCGAAAGTTCCAGATGAATGCATATTTTTTACAATGAGTCCTAGAAGCACAATTTTTTGATGGAATGAGTGGATATATTCAGTTTCCCATTTCATGTAGAAGTAAAAACTAGAAAAAAAAAAACTAACTTTCATGTAGAAGTAAAAACTCCTCAAAATGTGATCCATTAATTTCAGTTCACGTATTCTAAACTTCTTAATCCCAAAAGGCAAAGTCCGATGCACAGAAAGTTTCAGGCGTTTTTTTCTTACGCAATCACACTGCGCAATTTTTGCCTTCACCGTAAACTCACTTAAAACCACTTTGAAATCAGAAGCTAGTTAAAGAAATTGTAATAAAAACTCACCTCATCGTTATTAATGACCAATAGTCTTCCACGTTTAGTGCCTATTACAATTTTATTTTTAATTATTAATGCAGCAGATCCACATTCTTTTCTTCCAATTTTAAATGACTTCAATTCAGAGAATTTGCATGGTAAAGTTACCAAAAAAAGTCTCTGAAAAATTTTAGAGCCCCTGAATAAAGCAATCATTAAAAAACCGCACACACATTTAAGACATCAAAAACAAAAGAAAAGCACTGAGAAACAGAAATTATTATTTTTAGAGAAAATTAACTCGAAAAAAGTACTTCCTATTTTTGCAAAAATTTTTATTTTTAAAATGCGTTGAAAACTTCACATTGCTGGTTAAGTGTTAAAGTTACAGAAAGTTTATTAATAACTCACAACTTTCCCGCTAGTGCAAAAACAAAACAAATAGTTTAAAAACCAAATACAGTTTGCCAGTCGATCTCCTGCCTCCATCTCAATAACAGAAAATTCCAAGTTGCGCACTAAATTATAACCAATTACGACAATTTGAAAAACTAAGTGACTAAGCAAACAAAAATATAGTATTTCATTCGTAACCCAGTACCGCTCCTCACCTGTAAACATAATGCAATACGAACCAAAAACTAAATCAATTTTGTACCAAAAGGTCTACGATGAAAAAAACCTAGTTGGCGGAAAGCATCAAATAGCACTAAAATAGAAAGTAAAAAAATTTGAAGTAAAGTATTACTCGTATTGATAACAGTGCATCGCTGAGGTCCTGCTGCCAAAAGAAATTTCCGATCTGACGATAAAGAAAAACAATCCGTGGCTTCAAGTTTGAACATCGTTTCACAGACTGTGACATTTCCGCAATTCCTTTTCAGATTTCTGAAGGAGAAATTACTTTCAGACAAACAAATGCCACACAACTTTTCCACTTTCCTTACCATCTTCCATGCACAGAAAAATACTAAAAAAGTTCAAACCATAATTCAATGTAGCTCCACTTTCCACTCGTCCCAATAAAAACTAATGTATGAAAATTTCAAAAAGGTGACATAGTAACAAATTTTTTAACAGACAAAAATGAGGTTCTCTTAGGCGCAACAAAAACAAAGAAAAATTGGAAGAAAAGAGCCATAAATAAAAGAAAATAAACTCAGAATCAGTCAGTACAAAAAAACTTACAGAAAAAACTACTTTTTTATTTTACTTCTAGATGTATGATCACCAAGAAACCAACTTGCTCTCATCAATAAAAAGCACTGTGTCCGTAGAAAGACAAGCGAAATTCCGCACTGGCAATATACTATGGAATTTGTTGCATTTGATAACATCCGTTTCTTTTGGTAAACGCATACAACCAAGGAAACCATTTTCGGAACCTATCAGCTTAAAAACTCTTAAAAGCATTTTATGTTTTAGCTGTAACGTCCTTAAAACAACCGAAGCAAAAAGTCATTTCGTTAACGCAGGAGTTCAACTTACTACATAATCTGCAAGTAGTAATAAGGAACGTATGGCGCCTCGACCAACATGAAGTATCTGCAGCAAGGAGAGCTTTCCATCATTCGCGTTCCATATATAGACATTGGAATCCTAGAATCGTCTCTCCTTTTAAATTAATTAGGCTTTCATTTCGAAAAAAACCCTGCGTTACTTCTTTGACGATCAACAGAAATTAAGCCCATTAAAAAATCTCGTAACTGAAAATGAAGAAACGCAGTGCAGTACTAGACCTGACTGCCAGTAATGATTGTAGATTTGCTTCTTCCACAAATAGCGAAAGGTCTTGCAGAATGGGCACATGAGTTGTCAAGCAGTTCAAAAGTTTTCATGCACCACAACGACAAACTGCGATCATCTGATATCGAGAATAAGAGGCCATCCAAAAAAAGAAAACCAAATATCATTCCCTGTAAGGTTTTGAAAAGAATTTCTAACAGAAGCACTTATTTTTGAGTAATATTCCAGTTCCTTATTCAAATTCAAACAAGAAAAATAATAGTAATATTCGAAACCAAAAAGATTAATGAAAAGAAAAGTTAAAATAAAATTAAATTACTAGCCGTATGAAGTTTCAAGCGATGAACTACTGACGGTCCTTGCGCTGGTGATGAAATCAGTATGTCTCCAAACACAGTTCCTGCAATCGACGTGCTGGCATCCCAACTTTTCCCAACTAACAAAGCATTCGTCCTGCAGACATTAGAAAAAATGTACAAGGCAGTAAAATACAATTTAAAAACTAAAAAAAATGCTTACAAAAGTGCTCTGTATTCTGAACAAACTGTAGAAACTTCTGTGAGTGCCACTGATTTTTTATCTGAAGACCAAATAAGTTGATATAAAGCAACCGTATTACAACCAAAAATTAATGCCATCTGAAATATGATTTTGAATGAATCAAGAAGAAAGTGCAAAGGGAAGCAGCGAACTAGATACTGCTGAGTAAGTGACGAATCCAAAAAATGTGAAAATATTTGTTTGGGAGACAAAATGAAAAAGAAACTTTACAATCATGTGACCGTTAAGCAAAAGTAACGTGGCATGAGCAGTTTTCTTATCAGAATTTCAACCATTTTATGTTACAAATTCAGTCATCTCGTAAAAAGATGACCATTATATTACAACACTCTGAACCGTTATCAGAGACTAGTTTCCAAGCAAGAATTACTTTATCCCCTTCTAAAAAGGCAGCAGTTTGGATCCAATCAGGAAACCTATAAACGCGAGAAAGCGTGTAACATGGGTTACCGTCATAGCATAAGACCAACGACCTTTCGCTGTAAACAGCAAAATATGAATCTGAAAAAAATGTAGAATACAAAACCATAACATTTTAAAAGGGAATAAACATCAGAAAAAAAAAAAAAGAAAACACCGGGATTTTTCTTCTTTCATGTCATAATTTCAAGATATCTGAAAAAACAAAACTAATAATATTTACTGTAACGTCAGCTAAAGAAGATAAAAAGTTCTTGAACTACTTACCACTCAAGTACAATACTAACTGATTTTAAAATCAATTTCGCTGTATACAAACAATATCTCTTTGGAACTCTTTGCAAGATTTATGCTACAGTTTCAAAAACATTTAAACAGCCTGAACCTGCTTAGAAAATACCTTCATCAGATGGTATTATAGTCCCAAAAATACAGTTACTTCTTTCTCCAAAAGGGTAAAACCTCTGATGTAACTTTGTACAGGTCGGCTCAAAATGAAGAAGATCCAACGCAGCACCATAACCTGAAAATCTTTCAAACATAAACCTTGTCCAACTAACCCGCATGACTGAAAAACTGCGACGTCACCAAAAGCCTCAGCTTAACATCATAAATTTGAAACAGCGGGAAAAAATTCCCTGGCAAAGTCTTACCTGCATAAACCGTACTCGAACTTGACCTGCCATCAGAAGTATTACGAGCTAAACTCTCCTGCTTGCGGTAAGTTAATGTTAAAAACGGACTGTACAGTGCAGATGTCATCTTCCACCGTTAATGTACCATGCTCAGTTCCATTTCGTTACGTACAACCAACTTTCTTCCAATCTTCCCGAAGTTGAGGTTGAAATTGAGCTACAATTTTGGCAATATGCCGAAAAGCGCAAATTTCAAATTCCAACCCGTTGAGTAACTCGCTAGTTTCACCTTTTTATTGGCAAATTAAACTAGTATTGTCTGCATCTGATGCATTTGTGAACAGTATCCACACGGCTACCATAATCTCATCGGTCAAGAAGGTGCAAATTTTTCATTATAATTCCTTGTATTACCAATAAACGATGGGAACTTCAAGTTTTGCTAATCAAAGCGGCCATAATCTCTTTGCAGTATTTATCAAACTACGCCACTTGCCAACGTAATGACTGGGAACACGAATGCAGAACTGGAGGTAGAGGTCGATAACGAATTACAGAAGGTTTTAAATTGGAAGTTAGAAACTGTATTCTATACATATTTGACGACAACTTCAAACAGCTATTGGAAAATTATGGGGTACGATACAGAATGTCTGGCAAGTTAATCCTGATGGGCATAAAAAATGAGCGCATAAGATACTGGCAGACAGAATTGAAATGTTTTTTAAATGGCAGCTGTTCTTGAATTTTATAAGACATTTTTAGACTTCCGAAACAAAATTTTCTAAAATTTGGTTTTTTGAAATGATACGCAAACAAAAAGCAGGACTGGTCGCTGCTGAAATTAAAAAGTGAAAGTTAAATTAAGTTTCCTTTTTTCAGATTCCAAACTTAGAGGCGACAAACAATCGCAAAGGTTATCAGAGATTTGTATGCACTGAGTGTCCCTCCGCCGCTTCTGCTATTTAAAGCATTGAACGGCAAAATCTCAC